GACAGTGTTGGTGCACACCTCTAATCCCAGCACTTGAGAGGCAGAGGCAGGCAGATTTCTGTGAGTTCAAGGCCAGCCTGGTCTACAGAGCTAGGTCCAGGACAGCTATGACTACACAGAGAAACCCTGTCTCAAACAAAAAAAAAAAAATCAAAAACCAAGCCAAATCAAACAAACAAAAAACAAAATCAGAATGTTCAACTAAAGCTGGTGGTAGCTATGTGCCTGTCATCCCAGTACTCAGGAGACTGAGCCAGGAAGGAGTTCAAGGCGAACATGGCTAGCATGGGCTACACAGCAAGACCTTGGCTCAAACAGCAAAAAGCAACTAAAGAACCTGTCATGAATTCACCAAGGACGAGAGAGGGAAGGCAATCAATGGTGAGATAGGAGAGACTCAAGAGTGTGACCAGTGGCCTCGGGATCTGGCTGCAGGCTGCAGTGTGAAGTAGGGTAATGTCCTTACCTGAGTGACTGCGGAAGTGGTGGGATGGGGACCTCGGGCAGCAGATTCCTGGGCACATGGAGGTGGGATAGGGACAGTGTGGTCCACTGCTATTTGTCTTGCTATGGAGGGAGGAGGGGAGGGATGGGAGAAGCCACGGATCTGGAGGAAGGAAGCTACTTAGAAGGGCCTGGTTACAGGAGAGTCGTCACAGCGCAGGGTGGTCACAGGAGACGGCAGAGCCCATGGACTCATTCTGGGACAAGGGGGACAGGGTGGGAGTCCCCGGAGGATTCCTCCAGAGAGGCCCAATTTGAGTGCAATGACATCTACAGTATAGTGGGATGAGAACCTGTGTTTAGCCTCCCTACACATACCACACATACACACCACACATACACACACACACACCACACACCACACACACACACCACACACATACAGTCCACACACACACCACACACACACACCACCCACGCACACTAGTCACACATGCACACATACACACACACACCATACACATCACACACACCACACACATACACGCCACACGCACATATCACACATACACACACACCACACACACACACACGATACACACGATTCTTCTCTGGACAGCTGTAGCACAGTGGACAGTGGCGCGAGCTGTACACTGCACATCTCCAGGGGCAGCCATGTGACTGGTCCCATGTGCTCCTCTGCACATGGCCCTGTGACTCATCTCTGATGGCCTCCCCAAGGCTTTCCAGGCTCAGCCTACCTCACTCACAGGTGTGTCCTCCTGCTCTCCCAACCCTTAGAAATAGGCCACCCAAGGTATAAATCTTGTAAAAACGGTATGGGGAGAACAGGGACCAGGAATCCCTGAGCATGTGAGGGGAGGGCTCACCTCTGACATTGCTGTAGCTGCAGTGGCAACACTTCTGACTCCTTTTTAAATGTATCTGTGTGTTTTCCCAACATGTATGTATGTGCACTGTGTGCATTCAGTGTTGTTATGTAGGGTTTCCGCCAAGACGAAAACACCCCATCCTGCAGGGAAGTACAGAGATCTACCTGCCTCTGTTCCCTGAGTCCTAGGATTAAAGGCTGCTCCACCACTGCCCAACTGAGCTATTATTTTTTTCATACTTTTAAAAAGCCAAATCTCCTAGAACTGGAGTCACGGATGGTTGTGAATCCCCGTGCGCGTGCTGCGGACATAACCTGGGTCCTCTGCAGAAACAGCAAATGCTTTCAGCTTCAGCTGCAGAGTCTCAGAAGCCCTGTTAGCCTTTTCCCTGGAACCGGCCAGTCTTCTGCGCTCTGCCTCTCTAGTCTGTATCTCTCTCTGTCCTGAGTCTCTGTCAGCATCTCTTTCTCAGTCCCTTGGCATCTTCTTCTCTTTGTCTTTCTCTGTGCTTCTGTCTTGCTCTGTCTCTAGGTGTTTCTCTCTGTGTCTCTGTTACTCTCAGATTGAAATTAGCAAAATGCCCTATAGGGTCCACACACCCCCACACACCCAGGGGACCAATCTGAGCAAGAAAAACTCAACTGTGAGCACATGACCCTGCGTTCATTGAGTACCTGTTGCGCATATGCTCCCTTATGGGGGAAGAGCTGTGCTTTCTTTTGCAGCAGGAGAAACTGAGGCTGAAGTTGGTTGGGAAAGCAGTGGGTTTGATACCCATCTTCCTGACCTCCCCGGGCAGGTCAATCCCCTAGACAATGGCCATCACCAATAAAAGTTGTCTTGGTGAGAACTGGGGCTGGGTGCTAGCAGGGTGGAGGTGACGGGGTGGGGAAAATTTTCTCAGACGGCCACCGGGGTCAGAATTTGCACTGATGGTGGAGGCTTCCATAGGCAAGCACCAGTGAGAGCGGGAGAATGAGGGCTGAAGGGCAGGCAGGCAGGAGCATAGAGGGGCACTCAGGTACGTCAGTGGCCCTCTGGAGCTGGACAGTGGGCTCCTGGAGAGTGCTCTGTGTGGTCAGCTGGGGAACCGAGGCCCAAAGGGAACATGGCAGGGTGTGGCCTGCAGAGGCATGATAAGCAAGACGGGCAGGTTCTAGGAGCTGATAAGGTTCCTGGACTTTATTCAGAGGGAGAGCTGGCAGGAGGGGCATTTGGAACAATCAGGGGGGGACCGCAAGGTGGATGAAGGCACTGATGTCATCTTGGGGCGAGATGTGGGAAGGCGGCAGTGGTGGGCAGATTGGGGTATTCTGGCTTCGGGGACTCTGGAAAGGCAGGTTCTGTGAGGTGCTGGTGGTGACATCACTGGTGGCCCCAAGGGACTGTCACAAATGCTGTCCTCAAGCTACTATGGGAACAGGAGCTGGGGGTGGGGAGCCTGCAAAGGTTGGCCTCGAGATGAGTTGAGCACTCAGACTCTGGCATGGCCCTCTCTGCTTTTGCTCACCCTTTCTTACCCCTTCTAGACAGTTGCCTTCTATACCAGCTTTTCCAGTTCTTGTAACTGCCGCTCTGAAGGTCGGGAAAAGCCTGGTTCCGGGACCAGGCTCCGGCTGAATAGGCGTGATGCTGCACTTTGTCCCCTTGATGAGAACCCTCAGGCCGATCAGCTGCTTTGACTGGGCAAGGGTTGGGGCTGTAATCCCAGGCTTGTGCACTGTGTGGGACAAGGACCTCGCTGCCCTCTTACGGGCCCCATGCCTGCTGCCTGTACCCAGGTGCCTCCTCGATGCCAGTCCATAGTTTGGGCATGGAAACCCTGTCTTCAGCCCTTGACAAGGGTGTAAAAAAAAAAAAAGCCACCTGGTTCCAAATCAGATGCCTCTTTTTGGAAAATCCCTACCTTCCTAAAGGTCCTGCCTAGACAAGCCTTGGGGCCCAGCTTGGAGGTGTCACCTCATTGTTGGTTAGTCTGGTTCATCTGACTACATGCAGATTCCTGAGGGGGGAAAAACCAGGTTGTAGTGTAGGTCTTTAATCCCAGCACGCTGGATGCAGAGACAGGGGGATATTTGTAAATTCAGAGCCAACCTGGTCTACAGAGCAATTCTAAGACAGCCAGGGCTACAAATAGAAACTCTGTTTCAAAAAAACCAACCAACCAACCAACCAAACAAACAAACAAAAAACCATAGAGGGCAGCCACCTGGCCAATTGAGGCTCTGAGAGAGGTATTTTCCTTATCATCCCTATCAGCTATGTAGAAAACAAAACCAACAAGAAAGCAGGAGGCCAAAACTCTCCTGTCTCCACAGAGACCTCTGGAGAGTGCCCCACAGCTTCAGCTTCCTCCTCCGTGAATGTGAGGAGATACCTCTGGCTGGCTGGCACCCCTGAGAGTGAAGGGAAATGAGGCTGCATTTTAATGTTTGCGACAGGGTCTCAGGTAGACCAACTCACCCTGGAACTCCATATATATCAGAGGATGAGCTTGCATTTTTGATGTTCTGGCCTCGACCCACTGAGTGTGGGATTCCAAGTGTGAGCCACACACACAGTTTCTGCAGCGCTGAGGATGGAACAAGGACAGTGTGTAACAGGCAAACATTCTACCCACCAAGCTACACCCCAGCCTCCAAACCGAACAGCTTTGTCGACCCTGAAACAGGGAACTTCCTTCTCCACCAAGTTTGCATTAATCCCATCCTCTGTTTTCCCATATGTCAACAGGCCGCTTCCTCCACTTCTGCACCGGGATGCTAGGAGGCACCTGGCAGTACAGGCCTGCCATCCCAGCCAGCTCCAGAGGCTGAGTCAGGAGGACGACAAGTCCAACAGTTAGTTCAAGACCAGCCTGGGAAACTTGGACTCTATCAATCTTTTTTTTTTTTTAACCTTTTTCTTAAAACTGTGGTGGGTTTGGGCTGGAGAGATCAGTCAGTGGTTAAGAGCATTTGTTGCTCTTCCAGAGAACCTGGGGCTTAATTTCCAGCACCCACGTGGCAGCACACCTGGCTCTAACTCCAGTTCCAGAGGAGCCGGGGCCCTCTTTAGGCCTCCTGGGGACCCAGACACACAAGTGGTACAGATGTATGTGCGTGACAAAGTCCATACATGTAAAATAGTATTAAAGGTTAAAAAGGAAAAGAAAGAAAATCGTGGCTGTGGATGCAGCTCAGCTGCTGGCTGCTTGCCTGGCATGCAGGAAGCCCCTATACTGCGGAAACCAGGAATGGTGTAAGTCAGACAGGCTTGTGACCCCAGTACTAAAGGTGGTGGAAGCAGGGCAATCTCAAACTCAACTCAAGGTCAGCCTTGCTTATACAATAAGCTAGAGACCAGCCTGAGCTACAGAGGTTCCCGTCTCAAGGGAAAAAAAAAGAAAGAAAGAAAGAAAAGAAAACCCCGATGCCTCTGCTGGGAGTCCTGGCTGGAGGCCAAGGCTAGAGCACCCGGCCTTTATTCTCCCAGTCCCAGGAAGGAGGGGCGTGGTCTTCTATGGGCGTGGCTTTCCCGGGGTATGGGTGTGGCCTGAGCAAACTGGGGCGGGGAGGCCAGAACAGAGGCTCCTGTGTGGAGCTTGGGGTTTGTGAGACGGGCCTCCAGGGGGCGTGGCCATATGGGGGCGGACCCTAATAGGCGGGGACTTCAAGGGGGCGGGGCTGGCGGCCTCGCAGGCGGCTCCAGTGTGGGGCGCCGGTCGAGTTCTCTTCTTTCAACCGGGCTGGTTGGTGGTCTGCGGGTCCGGTCCTCGTCCGCGCCTCGGGCCCGACCGGGGCCTGTGGCCAGCTCCTCGAGCCGCCGTCCCGGCCCGCCGCCCACATGGCGGCCATCAAGGCCCTACAAGAGTGGTGCCGGCAGCAGTGCGAGGGCTACCGGGACGTGAGCATCACCAACATGACCACCTCGTTCCGCGATGGCCTGGCCTTCTGTGCTATCCTGCATCGACACCGGCCTGACCTTATGTGAGTGCTCTTTGACCCCTCAGTCGGGCTCTGAGGTGCCGCTGCAAACGGGAAACTGAGGCCACGCCTGCCCTGGGATCTGGGTCAGAGTTTGCAGACACACCCCTCTCCGATGGGTCACCCGGGGCAGGATAGGGTACTGCAGGCACAGTCCACTCGGTGGTCCCCAATGCTGCTGCAGTCAAGTGGCCTCTGTGCAGGCCACCAAGTGCAGCTGGGCCAGGGGCCAGGACGTGGGCTGTCCAGCCGGCTTAGTCAGTGGTGACTCAGGGCAGCGTCCGCCTTCCCCGGCTCCATGAGAAAGGGCAAAGCAGCAGCTCCTGGGAACCTTCTGAGACCCTGTACTGTCCTGAGGTTTGACCCCAAGATCAGGGTCATTTAAGGCATCTAGTGGAAATACTACCTCTTCCCCTGCTTGTCCAGGCATCTTTGGGCAAACATTCAAAGAGGGAAGTCCAAGCCTTTTAGCATCCTAGGGTTATTGGGGGGGGGGGGGCACAATGGAGACTGCGTCACTCTCCCTGGAAGTTACAGGAGCGGGCAGGGGATGGAGTCTAAAACCCTTACCGAAAAAGAGGCTTTGGCATAGGACTTTGGGAAGTAAGCTGGCTCAGTTTTGCTGAGGGACCTTGGCCCACGGCTGAATCTGTTCTGTCGGTAATTCACTTAGCAAACGCTTTGGCAGACTGTTAGAGATCTAACTTAGGCTGGTGGCCAGAGTCCTGGAATGGGACAAGATCACCTGTAGCCCATGCTCTTCTGAGAAAAACTTTGTGCTGGAGTCGGGGCGGCTGGCTTGGGAGTGTTTCTCAGGGAGGGCTTGAGGCTAGGTGAGGCTCTAGGCAGCTTCTGTGGAGCCATCCTTATTCAGGCTTCTTGCTGTGCAGACAGGGAAATTGAGGCTCAGAAGAAAAAAAAACCCCAACAAATGAACAAACAAACAAAAACTTTTCTTCAGGTTACACAGCATGGCAAACAGAGCCAGGTCTGGTACCATCCGGCTTCCTTGTGCCAAGTCTTGCTCTGCTTAGGAAGTGGGAATCTTGAGCAAGAAGTAGTATTCTGCCCCATGGTTGTGAAATATGCTGTTCCCCCCACCCCCGCCCTGAGCTGCTTGGGGAGGCCCCGTGGCCTCAATCACCCTCAGGGAGGTGGATGGTATGAGTTCAGTAGGTCATCAGTGATTTGGCAAGCGGAGAAAGCCTTGATGGATATCGGGCCAGGGATGTGGACCTTGGAAGATGGCCTTAGCGCACGGGGATGTGGGTAGCTGGGTCTCTCTGGGTAGTGCAGGGGGAGGCTGGGTGATGATCTGGAGCAGGGAGCCTAGGTGAGAACCATGGGACAGAATTTCAGATGGAGGAGACGATGGCGTTGGTTTCGGCTGGCCTAGCAGCCTCAGTTGGTAACTAGATGGGGACATGCTCTGAGGCAGGGGGTTTATGAGCTCCGGCCTGACACATAGTACCCACCGACCAGGAGGGGCGTATACACAGCGGTGTAGTTTGTGCTTGCCTGTGTGCTTGTGTGTACACATATGCCAGCACCAGCAAGTGCCAAATATTTGCTCATTTGACTGAGAGTTACTAAGTGCCTGCTGTATACTGTGTAAGATTGCCTCAGCCCCCAATGTGCAGGGAACAACTTCCTGGTCTCAGAGACAGAAGCTCAAGGTGATGATAGGGAACCAAGAGACTGACAGGAAGGAGGCTGGAGGAAGAGGCGCCTGCTGAGTTCCACTCTGGGTGGGTTATCTCACACCCTGCTGACTTCCTTGCTGCCTGTTCCAGTTGAACTGAGAGCTCGAGGTGATGGGGGGGGGGGTGTCTCTTAGTTAACGCTGTGTGGAAGCTGGAAGTGGCTTGTCTCCACGTCGCTGGAGTCCCCCAGATAAGGTCGTGCCGCTGGAGCTCGGTAGATGCGGTAGAAGCTTGGGGGGACCTCTGTGGATTTGGAAGGAGTTTGGAAATGACAGAACTCTAGGGAGTCCAGAGATGGAGGCATGAGCTAAGGGACACCCTGGAGTTCCCAGAAGCTGGGAGAGATAAGAAGGACCCTCCCCTGGAATGAGTGTGACCCTGTGACATCTTGACCCTGGATACCTGGCCTTTGGGGATCGGAGGACACGTATTCCTTGGTGTGGACGTCTGTAATAGCAGCGGTGGGAAAGGAGTGTGGTTTTCGGCAGAATTGCAGTGGTTGGTGCAATTCTAAAGCAGCGGTCCTCAACCTTTGGGTCTCGAACCCTCTGCGGGTCGAACACCGCTTTCCCAGGTCATACATATCAGACATCCTTCATATCAGATTACAATTTATAACAGTAGCAACATTACAGTTATGAAGTAACAACGAAAACAGTTGTATGGTTGGGGGTCACGACAATATGAGGAGCTGTGTTAAAGGGTCGCAGCATCAGGAAGGTTGAGAACCGTTCTTCTAAAGTGTGGCTGAGTGCAGGAGGAGGGACTGCCATCTGCATCTAAGCCTTAACCCCCCACCTCAGTGTTGTATCTGGCTCAGAGTTGGGCTTGCCACCAAGCCATATGATCTGCCTTGGCTCTGCGGGACTCACCCACGTGATGGAAGGAGAGAGGTGACTCCCAGAAACTGTCGATTCACCTGCATGTGTGCAGGGCTTCATGCGTGTTCTCCTCCAAATAAATAAATGCTGTTTTTTAAAAAAGCCCCCGGCCTGTGCCCTGCTGTGCTCTGGTGCAGGTGGTGGGTGGGGTGGGGGTGGGGGTGTCTCACTGCAAAGTTGGGTGACTACCAGGAGGGGAAAAAAAGGGGCTGTCCTCTCTGAGGAGCCCTGAGGTCAGTCAAATCTTGGCAGGGGTGGGGGGACACAGGTCCTAGCACCCCAGTACTCAAGTTCACTTTTCCTTCCCCACAAGACCCTCTGGCAGCAGGAAGGTGGACATCCTGTCTCCTTGTCCCTAGCTTTGCCACCAGGAAGTCCTTCCCTTTGTCTGGTCCTCCTGCCTGCTGAGTGTGCTTCCTGTGGCCCTTGGCGGAGCACAGCTGTGAGGGAGCCAGCCTGGGCATGGAGCCAGCCAGGTGGGGCCAGGCTGCAGGCAGAGAGTTCACGTGTGCTGTGTCCCTGACGTCCCTGACCCTCCCACGTCGCTAGGCCCACAGGACTGAAGAAACAGGCTTTCCAGTGAAGCCACCTGGGCCAGCTCCCTGCCTCATGCCACGTGTCCCTCCCTGCTCCGCCTCAGAGCTTGGGTTTTCCACAGAATTTAAGAGTGCCTGTTCGCAAGGACATTTCCGCTATGAAGCCACCACGCAGCGGCCAGGTGAGAGCTGGGAAACCACCCAGCACAGCAGCCCAGCCCACTCTAGTCAGCAGCCCTGCCCCAAGTAGGGCCGGCTTCCTTTTGGACCTCACTAGGAGCTGCCACACGGTTCTAGCTGGGCCATGGGGGCAGAGGCGTAGTATTCTGTTGGTCTGAGCCAAGAGGTAAGGGAGGTTGCTTCAGGGAAGCTCCCCTCTGGCAGGAGAACCCTGTGGGACCCTGAGATTGAACTCAGGTTGTCAGACATGTATGATGGAAGAGCCTTTACCCAATGAACTGTCTTGCTAACCTGTCTCTCTTTTTGTCTTTGTCTTTTTTTTTTTTTTGAGACAGAGTCTCATTATATAGCCCTGCAGGCTGGGAACTCACTATGTAGATCAGGCTGGCCTTAAACTCACAGAGATCTTTCTGCTTTTGTCTCCCAAGTGCTGGGATTAAGGTGTGTGTTGTTACCATGTCTGGCATCTTTTTCTTTTGTTGAAATGGGAGGGTGGTGTCTCTCGTCCAGGTAGGCCTTGAACTCACTAATGTTGCCAAGGATGACCTTGAACTCCCGATCCTCCTGCCTCCGTGGGATTACGTAAGTGTGCCACAATGCACAATTTTTGCAGTTCTGGGGATGATCAGAACCCAGAGCTTCATGCCCACTCTAAGCAAGCCACACCCCCAGCCCCAATGGCACTGTTCTGTTGTTTATTTGGAGACAAGGTCTTGAACTTGAATTTGGAGACAGGCTGGTCTAGAACTCACTACATAGCCCAGATTGGCTCAGATTTGGGCCAGTTCTCCTGCTTTCGCCAGTGAGCTCTGGGATTATAGGTATGCACCGCCATGGATGCTATAAAGGCAGAGTTCTGTGGAAACTTCCTGCTCTTGGTCATTGGTGGGGTGACCTGAAGGTCCTCAAGGTCCCTGCAGTTCTGGAAGCTAACGTCAAGGCCACCGCTAGAAGCAGCAGGTGGCCGAGGCAGCCTTTGTATGGGTCCCTTGTGGGAGGGGTGCCTCTGACTCTTGTCTAGACTGCAGACTGTCCTGCTGAAGGTCAGGGGTTTCCCAGGGTGTGCTCTATCCCAAAGCACCCCTGGCCAGAGCTGAGAGTGGACTGGGAGGCAAAGCCAGCTTCCTTCCCTCCCACACAGGCTCGGCCAGCGGAAAGCTGCTTGGGCATAGAGGCCTTCTGTTCTCCAGCTTGAGGCTGGCTGCCCAGACCCTGCCACTGCCTCTGGCTGAAACTGTCCAGGACTATGGGAGGGGGCTGCTGTCCTCCCAGGGGACAACCCAGCCTCATGCTGGCCTTCCAGAGGCCTGTTCCCTATGCCTGATTCCCAGACTCCTAGGGGGCTGGTCTCCCGCTTGGTCCCCTTGGTTCTACACTCACCCTCAATCCCTCTCTCCACTTTGGAGCCACACCCCCCCTCTTGCTGTCTCTTCTCTCTGCCTTCTTGCCAGTGAGATTAACTCCAGATGTGCTGGATTTGTCTAGCGATAACACTGAGCTGGGAATTCCCTTCCTAGCCGGGTACCTACCCCTACATAGCTGAGTTTTTTTTTTTTTTCAGGAAATACAAGAATGCGAAGTCAGCCACGTGGGAATTTAGAAGGGGGGGGGACTATTCCCAAGAGCCCCCCAGAGGTGTTGGGGGGGCTGGAGGCTGGCTTCCTCCACAGCTAAAGCACACATGGCTGGGAGAGAGGGGCCAT